TCTGAAAAGCATTGCAATAGACTTGTAGACTTTGCATCACTGATTCATATGTGTAAACATGTTTCCCCCTAAAGATGATGTATTCCTGCTTGACCTGCTTGAAAAGCTGTTCCTTAGTTTAGTTTAGTTTAGTTTAGTTTAGTTTAGTTTAGTTTAGTTTAGTTTAGTTTAGTTTAAAGGGTGGGCAATTAATTTTCCCAAGAGGTCACATGAGAAACCGGAACTGTTGTGGAGGGCTGAACCAATAGGGCTATGAAAGTGTGTAGGCACTCACACATGCACATATGTAAATTGGGGGGAAAAAATAGCAGTTGCCCTCAAAATAAAAGCGATGCAATTGTATTGAGTGCTTGGCATACACTTATTTACATTTGATTTCTAATTTTGGATTGAGCTCACATAGGCTGGACAGAGACTGCCAAAGGGCTGGATGTGGCCCAGGGGCCATAAAATGCCCAGGTCTGATTTAGGTGAGCAGTTGCCCTACTGTACATGGGTTTTTCCCCCCCTTTCTTTCCTCCACTGCTCAAATCCCTCACCATTTTATTTCTTGAAATAGGTAAGGCTTTTTTTCTGTAACTTTTTTTAATGACAATTGTATGTTCCTAAGGTCAGGGACTCTGCCTTTACTTGTCTTTTGCATATTCTGGGATACTTAAAAGCAGGATGCACATGGTACCTGAATGCAGGTGTTTGCTGAAATATCATTTGCCTAACTATAGACAAAATAGATGGCTGATTTAGCCTTAAGCAACTCACATGTATATGTTAGAGTGATATCCAGTTCTGTCTTCAAGAGATCAAGGTAGCTTATAAGGAGATTTTATTTTATCCAAACAACTACTGTGTGAGGTAGGGTGGGATATGATTAATCCAAATTTCCCATACTTTTTCCATAGCTGGCACCTTAACTATCACATTGGCTCTGTTGGTTGTGTAATAACAACAACAACAACAACAACAACAACAATAATAATAATAATAATAATAAAGTTGGAAGGGACCTTGGAGGTCATCGAGTCCAACCCCCTGCTCAGGCAGGAAACCCTACACCATTTCGGACAGATGGCTGTCCAGTCTCTTCTTAAAAACTTCCAGTGTTGGAGCATTCACTGCTTCTGGAGGCAGGCTGTTCCATCCAGCTCTGTCTTCAAGAGATCAAGGTAGCTTAGATATGTTGGTTGTATTTTAGCATTATTAAAAACAAACAACTTTATCTGGAAAGTTAATTTTCCTACTGGAACAGTAGCAGCAGCAGAATACTTACCTGTCCCATGAGCTAAGATAATTTATCAGCAGAGGCCCTTTTATACTATTCAAATACCAAATGTAGTTTTGATTTTTCAGAGCACATACAATTAAAATATAACACATATTTTATGTACTTTTTATAAATTTATGCGGATTTCCACCTTATTCACACCTTTAAAGAAAGTGGTTACTCTTAACTATGGCAACTTCATTTGAGAAGACACCAGTTTTCCAAAAGAGAAAACAAGGTAAAGTACAACACATCTATTCATAAATCAATTACCTTCTATCTATAGGAAGGATTCCAAATGGAATTTTAAAAAGGTCACAACCTACTGTATTTTTTTTTTTAAAGGCACAACTAATAAAATTTATGATGGCTACACAGGCAGCCGCTATATCATTGTATTGCAACCTAGAATGTGTGTATTTAGAAGAGATACAACACTAAACCTATGTACTGATAGTTCTGAAGCATATTAAGTCTGCCCTTTTTCTTACCAATCCTGCGCACAAAACCAATTTTATTATTGCTAATTGCTGGATCAGGTGGAAGGAAAAGCATGACCAGCAACAAGGTGGATGTTCAGTGGCAACGGATGTAACCTTGGAAAACCTGGAAGGCCAGGTAAGAGAGAGAAGTCATAGAGAAGGTCTATCTATATATGTTCCACGAGTCTCCACATCAGCTTGATGACAGACTCCACCAATGTTGAAACAGGGTGACAAGGTCATTTACCGCACAGGAAGGGTCTAGGTAACAGGGGTAGGCAACCTCGGCTCTTTTATGACTCATGGACTTCAACTCCCAGAATTCCTGAGCCAGCATAGCTGGCTCAGGAATTCTGGGAGTTGAAGTCCATGAGTCATAAAAGAGCCGAGGTTGCCTACCCCTGGGACTCTAGGAGTTTTTACTGGGGCCTCAAGCCCCTTCAATACTGGCCTTTACCTACTGTTAGTAACGCACTACTGTAGTTGACATTTTTTTAATAGGTCACCATTCAACTTGCCACTCCCTGCAAAGAGAGGCGCAGCCGCTACTACTGTATTGCTGGGTACTTAAAACCTCCAGAATCATCGCAGCAAACATTTACCGTATACCAGTAGTAACAGGGAACTTCTAAGGCAGTGTTTCTCAACCTTGACAATTTTAAGGCATGTGGACTTCAACTCCCAGAATTCCACAGCCAGCAATGCTGGCTGTGGAATTCTGGGAGTTGAAGTCCACATGCCTTAAAATTGTCAAGGTTGAGAAACACTGTTCTAAGGCGATCAAGAGGACTGCGGCAAGGACAACAGCATTGGGGAGGTGCCACCGACCCAGGTTTTCTGCCGCTGGTGGCCGAAAGGGCTGCCCGCTCTGAGCAAATCTTTCCCCTGCCTTCCCACCACGCTCTGCCCCCCCCCCGGGTGTTTCGGTTTAGCCCGGGAGAAGAAGCGAATCGGGGCCTGGCACCGCCCTCGAGCAGCGAGAGGAGGGCCCGCGGTGCGCCGTCCTCTTTTCCTCCCCTCCGGCTGGATAAACCCCGGGCGGGTCCGGTGGTTTTTCGTTGCTACGACCACCTCCAGCGGGATTCGGAGGAGCCCGTCGAGGAGTGCGTGACGCACCCCCTCCCTCCCTCCCTTCCTTCCTCCGCCCCTCCGCTCTCTTCTCCCGGAGAACAAAAGAAGAATTCTTTGCACAGGTTTGTGGGCACACAAGTAACCTGAGGTTTGGCAGCCTCCCAGATACTCTCTTGCTCAGGAAACTGCATACCGTTGTTTTTTTTTTAAGTCTGTAAAACAAATCGTCTGGGAAGGGAAGCCTCTGTCACTCTAGGAAGGGGGGGGGGGAGGCAAGCCGCAGCGACCCCCGGAGGAGAATTCCCCTCTGCACGGGTTCGCTTATACAGCATTTCATCAATTGATGGGCCAGCCTTAGTGACAGGTACAAATTAAGGTCAAACGCGAAGCTTTTTGTTGGCTTCCCCTCCACCTGCTTTATTTGGCGGAAAAAGGGGTGTGGCCTTATACAGGTTTATTTGAGCCTCTGTTACGCTCTGTAAATGATATTTGCAAGATTGCCTCTTTCTCCGAAAATGGAGGCACTTTCCATTCTTTAAACAATCCTATTGTGCAGTCTCTCCCTAAAACTAGACATTTCCAAATCTTCTGCACTTCTCTTGCCTGTGTGCTCACGACCCCCTTTTGGTTATGACTCTGCCCGTACATGCGTGCCTAGATTCTGTTACCCTTGGCAGGATGATGGTAATCTTCTTGCCATCTTTAGATTCCTGAAGGCAGCACACCTACTCGGCATTAAGAAACTGGAGCATGCCTGTTAAATTAGTGTGTTCGGTTCAAGGCAGTTGGCTGTACCCTTTTTCTTCAAGAAGAAATCCGAAGAGTACCCAAAAGTCTCCAACCCCCACATTAAACAATTTGATTTACCCCAAGTATCAGTGAACCACTGATGAGCAGGACCAAAAGTAATGCATGTAGAAATTGCAGGGACTGTTTTTTTCGAGATCAAAGGGAAATCCAGCAGCTCTGGCCCTTTAAGAACTCCTCCCTACCCAATCTTCACATTCCCTGTCTTTTCTCTTGGCCATTTGTTTGGAACTGATACAGGATCTCTCCCGTGGCAGCTCCAACTTGGAACAGCTGGAAGACTACATCCCCAGCTAAGTATTCCCCGGCTTGGAATTCAGCTGCCAGCCAATATTCTGGTTTCTCCTTTTAGTTTGACCCTCCCACTGTAGAAGTGGGTGAGAGAGAAACCTTGGCTTGTTTCATTCAGACCAGCTCCCTTGGGCATCATAAGAAATATGCCAGGCTCCCCCCCCCCCCATTAACTAGCAGAGACTCTCCCTCTCCCACTTAGCTCTCCCTCTCCCAGCTATCTGGGCTGACTCCCCAAGTAGAGTTCTTCAATTCAATCAGTACCCTATGTTGGGGATCTTACAAGATAATCTGGTATATGTTGCTTTGTACAAGATGCTCCTTACCTTTCAAAAGCATAACAGACCATAAGCATTACCTAGCAGCTTGGCTGGAATATACTGGAAATGAGAATGCCAATACAACTTTTTTTCCCTTCAGTATTTGAGGAATAAAAATCACTGGTTACAAGTGTATCAATCACTAATGGACAAATGGGTATCACAGCATCAACATTATGTTCTCACGTAATATGATATTGATGGCTTAACTTAAAATCTTAGCTTGCAAAAAAAAAAAGGTTTCTAGTTCCGACAAGCAGGCGTAGGAGCATTTTTTCCATGTTAGGAGAAAATGAAAAGGCCACATGGACTGTATTTACCCAGACTGGACAGTACCGCCAATCATAAACAAGGCACCTCCAGGAGCAGCTGTTTGACAATTATTATGATTAAAGTCCAATTGTATTACCACTTTCTGGGGAGTAAATCACATTTAATTTCTTGGGAATTCCAAGTAAACATGCATAAGATTGTATTGTCTTTCTAAATATTGGAATCAGTAACTTCCCTGCAGAGAATAATTCTTTCAGGATTTTTTTTTTCAAAAAAAGTGACCAAGATGTCAGTTTAATTTAATGGATCAAAATTAATTTCTGCACTCTATAAAGGAAAAAAGTGGGGATGTCCTGGGAAAACCCTTTTTGCACTTACCCCTTGCTGGTGGTAATCACCTACTTGAAGTGTTTCCTACCCTTTGCATATACTTTTATGATTAGGTTTATGTTATGATTAGTTCGTTTCTATTTTTTTAAAAAGGCAAGAACTTACCTCACTGCTGATGAGTGGCAGGTAACAGAGAGACACGAAAAGCAGTCCAAAATTCATGCCGACTCCAATCCCCAAAAGTTCCAGACACATTGAAGGAGAGTCTTTTTTAAAAAAAAAAACCCCAAAGAATTAAGTTTTCCCCAGTTCAGGCAGACTGAGAGTGAGAATCTGCCCTTACTGTAATTGACTGTATATCAAGTGTAGAGTTCTTCACTGCCTCATTTCAGTCCCAGTAAACTTTCTCCAAAAAATAATATATACTCTTAGCGGAAAAAATTAACAGCTCCAGAGTGGAGAGACTTGATTACTAGTCTGCTTCTCTGTAGAGAAGAAAAAGATATTAGTAAAAATAAAAAATTAGTCATGTCCCCATCAAAATCTTAGCCATCCAAACTCGGTCTCTTCCATCTATGTGCCCCTAGTAGTGCAGTACAAGGTCTGTTTCCCTAGATTTGGCAGTTCACGTGAAATCAGGTCCTCTTAAAGATAAAAAAAAAAAAAGTCTGCTGGCAAAAGCAAAATTATTTAGACTGTTTCTTCAAAGCATTAAACTTCAACCATTGAAAACCATGCAGGGAGAACGAAGATCTTCAAGTGCCTCATCTTTTCTGATTTGACTTCTTAAACCAGCCCTTTGCTCGGAATCATTTGGCTGAGCTTCCCCCCCCCCCCCTCCACAGCCGTCTTTCCAAAGAGCAGTGGTAGCCTTGGTTGAGGAAGAGTTTTTGAGGCTTCAGTTGTTATATTTGCGGACAGGTGAGCAAATGGTTCTTGCTGCAGCAAATTGTGTGTGTGTGTGTGTGTAAATAAAGTCTTGCAAAACCTCCTAGAATTGCTGCAGTTGCTCTCGCTGATCCTTGCACTCAGTTGCAGCAAGGAAGCAAAAGGTCCGCTCTCTGGTGGAAGCAGACACAGCACCAAGGAGAGAGCAAGTTTGGGTCTCAATTTTAGTCTGCAAGAAAATAAGGTGCTAGTATTACAGTTCCTTCTTTTAAAGGAGACGAGGGGGAGGGAGAGGAGAGGGGGAGGAGACAGGGCTGCCAGGAACTCCTCTCTTGGCTAGGAATCAAAGAGGGGGAAAGAAGAATTTAGTCTCAGTAGAATTTTTCAAAATCTTTAGCTAACAAACACAGTGCGAATGGAGAAACACCTCTGCTTTCCAAAGGGAGAACCTGGGAGATTCTGTTCCTTCAGGGTAAAGTGAAAAGGGGGAGGATAGTTCTCAGGCTAGCATTGCTGTGTTGTATTTTTGGCTCCTAATATTCACTGTTGAAGCATAGGTACTTAGCGATTAATATATGTTCTTTTAGCTCTGCTACTTCAGTGACTCTTAAAAAGGAAGAGCTTGAATAGCTTTGATCTATCTGCAGAAGAAGCTAAAAGAAAGCCAAAAAGATATACATGATATTAACAAAAGAATCCACCAAAGTTGGCATGTGTCATTGCCTTCAGTGCTGGAAGGCAATTTGTTGTTATAGTAATAATTTCCAGAATGTAATAAACATCCAAGCTTTGGAAAATTGAGACATTTACTGAGGGAAGTTGGGATAATTAATTGTTAAATGAAAATGAAACAAGAGTCAACATTTTCTATTAAAATAAAAGCATAGCTCATCCTGGTATGGAAACTACATTTGATGTTATTTCTTTTCTCGCATTCCAAATCCCTGCTCAAGAGGATTAATTCAGTTTACACATGTTAAGCCCTAATATGGGTTTATTTTGGCTTATGATATTATATTATGAAAATTCAGCCAGTAGCTATCCATTTGCAAACCAAAGTGATTTGTTATGTTATGGGAATTGAGCCAATGGTGGTTTACTTAAACCACAGATTAAACCACTATATGTGAACTTGTTCATAAGCTATTGTAGACTCCGCTCTTAAAACGTAATGCTGGTCATATCTGTGCATTAATTCCATCTGGTAAATGGCTAAGATCCTTTTCTGCTATGTCTAGTTATATAATATATATACTTTATCATTTGTTACTCTGCAAGTAAATGCATTGAATAAATAAATTCTGTGCCTTTTTGCAAACTTGAGGCATTACTTGATCTAACTTAGTATTGTCTACTGCAACAGCTGCTGCTCATGCAGAACTCTTTCTAAGTGCATCTGTTCAGACTCTTTAAACTCAGTGTGTCCAGGGTGGGGGATTCCGTATACAAAATATATGCTGTACTGTTGAGCTCTAAACATTCAGCATGTGAGATCCAAGGTGCTGCTCATTATTTTTCTGGCAGTTTCATGATGTTTCAAGGCAAGTGATTTCAGAGCAGCCCCCCAATGGTATTTTTAAGACCAGACATATGCACATAAATTTTATATTATGTGGCTTCTCAGCATTGGAACGAGGCATGAAGTCTCTGCTGTAAAAGATTGATTAGATGCAGAAACCAGGAAGCATTACTGCCAACCACTTTGTTGCTCTTTAAATGGAACCATTTTTACCCTGTCATTCCTTTTTCAGCAAATGTCATCCTAAATGTTTTCTCATCAATATGTCTGGATCTCAGTGCAAGCAAGCACATTCCAGTAGTTCTGCCTTCTCTCTCCTGTGAAATGATGTAGCTACCTACATCTCCTTCCATTGGATGGTAAAATGGCCAGGCCATCCATTAGCAGTGAGCCATCCTGAGGATGATCAGTTTAGAGATGTAGTACTATGGCAGCCAGCAGGATCACTGAAAGAGTTTTACTTATTTTGTGATAAAGACAAACTGTATAAGAGCAACATAAAGAAAGTAGAATGATTTTGACAGTAGCCCTAAGAATCCATCTATTAATCAATGGCTCTAAGGATTATGATCCTGTACTATGGATGTTTCCAAAGTTTGCAGAAAAGGGTCAAGAGTGAAACAGCATAGTGCAACTGGAAGCAAATGAATTACACAGTGCTTATTTGAGGAGGGGGGGCAGTATTTAGTCTACATGTTCCTCTTCAGTTGTGCCTTAAATAGAACCATAAGGATTGCGTAGATTCATAACAGCTTAATAAACCAATTCATATTTATCCAATCTGGACAGCTCAGATATAATAATAAGTGGCACAAACCTCCATTCTTCTTCTCCATCATCTTCTCCATTGACTCTTGTTAGATCATAGAATATGCTCTAATGTCAATTTATATCTTGGGATTTAGACATTCTTTACAAAGCAGAAACTAGTATGGCAGAGAACAAAGCCAATTCAATAGAGGACCTGCAGCTGTGGCAAGAGTTCAGTTGTCAACATCAGTTGCCCATTTTTGTTAGGGTTTTGGGGTTGTCCTGTTATCTATGTAAAACCCCAGAACATTTTGTTTGTCTATTAAGGTTTTTCTAAATGCTATTTATCTGAGCCATTCATTCTTTAGTAGGCTCTATTGTGACTTCACATAAGATCTAGAGTTGCCCAGGATTCAGAGATTTACACGATTGTACATGTCATAACCGGGTGCATAACTGCTTCATAGAACCTCTGATTGTGGAACGGAGCTCAGAAGGAAAACTCTGCAGTAATAGAGGTTGGTAATGAATACATTCATGGCTTACTTAATTATAGTTTGATAAATAAACCAAAATGAGCTGAGCTGAGCTCAGTCTCCCCACCACCACCACCACTTTTCAGCTACAAAGTAGCTTCACTCCCCAAATTTCCCATTAACAATGCTTGTTGGGAATGCTAAAAATTGTAATCTTACTATGTTTGGGAAACATTTCTAGTTTTGCGACCTTGAGAAAATTCTGTTGCCTTCCATTTGCATTTCAGTACAGTGATAAAGCTCCAGCTGGCCATCTCAATAATTGCTATTTAAAGTATGTAAATGATACAATTGGCACATTTAGTTCCATGGAGTTTTGTTGTGGGTTGTAGAAGAGAACCTTGGGTCATTTAATTTCTCACTACTTTGCTCCAGCTGCAGTGGTTAAATTTTATGTACTTTGCATTTAGGATGAAGAGATTAAGAGCTTTCCAAGTGTTGGAATATCCCCTAGAGGTTACAGTGGAAGGGATTCCCTCCCTCCCACCTCCTCCAGAAAAAAAGAGCAGCTGGTTTATTGCCCACAAATATTAGATATTTCACAGTACCGTAGAGAACATAGCCCTTCACAGAAAAAGAAGTTTCCTTGACCTTGCTTGAACATATGCTTAGCCTGAATTATTAATGTATTTCCATGTTCATTTCCTACGTTGCGGGCATCTTCTGATCAGCAATGCTAGCACTGCAACTTCCAGAATTCCCCAAAGCCTATTTCTAAAAAAAAACAAAAAAAACCCCCCCTTTTTAAAGTGTTTCCTTACATTGCATTTCTGTGCCCCTCTGAACATACCTGAACTAAATTACTTCTAAATACAACTTTATAGGACCACATTGTTAAGCATCCAGACACTTTTCTCTAATCTTCATAAGTGTTTGCCACCAAGATCAGATGAAAAACTTTATTTTTTTCATGGTGTGAACTTCATAATCCCTTTTAAGTACATCAAAGTGAGAATGTGCAGAGTCTAGGGTCAATATAGTAGGAAGAGTGATATTTGTGGTATGAAAAACTCAAGTTTTGTTTTTTAAGTCTTTGGCGCACTGTCTTTTCCATATCCGGCTAAATTACGTGAGATCTAATATAGGGGAAAAGGTTATTTATTTACACATGGATGATGTGTGGCAGAATTTTTAGAATCATAGCTTTAAAGACAAGCTAAATCTTAGCAATTCAGACAGTGAGGAAGAGGATGTTTAGAAAAAGACCTATAGTTCTGGATGGGTCTTGAGGTAAATAAAATTCAAAGAGCTTAAGCTTTTTATGACTATTTATTTATTTATTTATTTATTTATTTATTATTTAGTGAATGTGTACAGAATATAAAAATGGATATTTATTGAACAGGAGAATAAAATACACCATCTTTACCTGTAGGAAGATAGATACTAAAAATCAGTTGTTCTTGAAGAGTATATTGTAGCTTCTCCAAAGCACACTTCTCAAATCTGGCAAGTTCTAGATTTTGGGGGAGTGAAATTTTAGAGCAAATATGTCAATGTCTTTTGGCCTAAAGTCCTCACATGGCCAGGAGGTTAGGACAAAGACAAAGATATGGACAGAATCAGGAGAAAAATAAATTTAAAAATAACATTAAGTAAATAAAAATTTTAAGAAATAATTTTGATATAATTTGATTGTAAAACAAGTTTATATTTTGATTATTTCTATATACTTTATTTCTTCTTACCTCATATGAAAATAGAATTTTATGCCAATCTGGGGAGCTCTAAAAACTGCACTTAAAACTACACAGCTATATGTAGACATTATATTAAGACACAGGGTTTCTTAGGACCGATAAGTTGATTATTTGGTGGAACCGTGATGGCACAGTGGTTAGAATACAGTGTTGCAGGCTAACTCTGACCACAACCAGGAGTACGATTCTGACCGGCTCAAGGTTGACTCAGCCTTCCATCGTTCTGAGGTCAGTAAAATGAGGACATAGATT